TGTCATCGAAAAGAGCAAAGTAAAAGCTACAAATAAAAAAAAATTGTAATAAAAATACTGCATTCTTAACTCAAAAATTGTACCTTTATCTAGTGAATTAAAAAAATAATAAAATTCATTGGCAAATCACGAGTCATCTGAACAAATATTTTTTTTTTTAAATATAAATTTTACTATAAGCTCGAATGTAGAGTGCATCTATCTAAAACTTTTTTTTTTACTAAGTAAATTACTTTTGGGCTTGTAACAAAAGTTGTAAAGCTTATCAAAAAGCATCTAATAGTAGTAAGAATGTTAAAATCGGCTTGGTAATTCTTAAAAAATCTTTAAAAAACTTATTTTTCATATATAAAATTTCTTTAAAAAAAATCAATTTTTTTTAAAGAAATTTTATATGTGAAAAAGAAGTTTTTAAAGATTTTTCAAGAACTACCAAGCTGATTTTAACATTCTTACTATCATTAGATGCTTTTTGATGAGCTTTACAACTTTTGTTACAGGTCCAAAAGTGATTTATTTAGAAAAAAAAGGTTTAGATAGGCGTGCTCCACATTCGGACTTATAGTAAAATTTATATATAAAAAAAATATTTGTTCAGATGACTTGTGATTTGCTAATTAAACCAATGCCGCGTGCCAAAACAACATTCAAATGATGTAAGCAATTAAAAAATGCACATGAACAATGTTAATTTTCTAAAAAAAAAATTGATAATAGTGCGAAGAAGAGTAGTGACAATATATTAATAAGTTCATAACCATTAAATATAGAAATTGATAGTAGTGTGAATAAAGACGATGATAATATATTGGCTAGTTTACTACCATTAAATATAGAAAGTTCACAAGTATTAAATATAGAACATTTACAACCATTAAATATAGAAATTGATGTTCAAGAGGTTAATAATATTCAAGAAATTGATATTTGGCAGCAAAAAATCGATAAACTTCTTGAGTAAGTAATTGATTTGCCAGATTCAATTCTTATAACATTTATAGAAATAATTGAAAAGGTTGCTCAAAAACAACTTAATCAACCAAAATATTTAAAAAATATAGAATGTATTTTTAAATATTGTAAAAATATGGGTAATAATAACATAAACCTTAGTATATTATTATTAAAGCTCATGAGATACTAAAATTTCGCAAGAAATTTTTTTTGTTAGAAGCCAAAAGGTGGTTTCATAATTGAAATTTTGAGATATCAGTAATATTTTAAAAAAAAGATAAGTTTATATTACATCTGATCATGTAATCTAATTAGCTTTCAAATAATACCTGTGTACAAACAACCTTTGTACAAATAGAAATGCTCTTTAGCAAATTAGCATGGTCTTGTTTATATATTTTTTTTTACTAAAAAATTCATTTTCTATTTCAAAAATTCCTAATAAGCAAAGAAGAGATAATTGGTTTGAAGTAACTCATATTTAGTTAGAATTCTAGTTACAACATAATGTGTGAATCGATTTTAACAAACAGCGAAGTAATATTTAATAGATTATAAATTCTTGCCATACTTACCATCATATTAATTATCTGTCATATATTCATCTTCTATATTTTCATTCTCATTTACATTTATCATATCATCATCTGTATCATCATACACATCTACATCTGTTATATCTTCATCCTTTTCTTTACTGAATTGTTGAAAGAACCTGTTTATTTATTTGTATTTTTTTATTTATTTAAAAATTTTAATATTACTGTAAATAAAAAAAATATGCAGATTATGCTATTAAAAAAAAGTGCACTTGGTTATATTTGGCTATAACTTGTTATACGGTTGGCCATTGTTAAGCTTTTTGATTTTAGTATATATGTATATATATATGTATGTACGTATGCATGCATTAGTAATTCAAACGTTGTGAAAATATTATGTACTAAAATATCACCCATGGGCATTATTTTGAAAACCTCTATATTCAAAAAATAACCTATTTATTCAAAATAATGCCCATGGGCATACTCAAAATAGTGTACATGTAGTCAAAATAGCATGCCCCTGCCTGCTATTTCAAGAATTTACAGTATAAATTAATAGATATAAAAGAATTAATTAATCTTATATACATAAAGAATAGATAGATACACATAAAGTAGGGTAAGAGCGATTTACTTATTTGTGCTGGTAATACAAACCAAAAAAGGAATCAAATTTTGTAAATAAACTAGTGCATAAAATAGAAGTTTAGGATTAAGACGTTAGGGTTGTGAGCTTTAGCAATAAGTTAGGTTTTTTATATGTAAAATTTCATCCCCATTATTTTTTATTAGTCAACTAAGGTCAATTTAAACACTAGTTTTTGAGTTAAGAATGCAGTATTTTTATTACAATTTTTTTTTATTTGTAGCTTTTACTTTGCTCTTTTCGATGACA